ATAAATAAATTTAATTAATAAAAAAATTAAATACTTAGTATAGAGGGGGGGGGGGGGGGGGGTTATAGGTGGGGCAGCTGCTATGTCTATGGCTGACCGACTTCGAAAAATAAAGAGGTAGAGATAAAGTTGAAAGGACGTAGAAGAGGAAGCTGGAAATCGAGAGAGAGTGTTTGTTTAGAATAAGAGAGGAAATATTCTCCTTAGCTTTCAAGCTCTTTTTTTTTGGTGTTTTCTTTTGAAATCAAACAAACTTTGCTAACCTCTAGCTCCCAAAGTTGAAGTGATTATTGTATTTTTCTTCATGTTTTAAGATTTAAACTTTGTGTCTTTCTGTTCGTGCTCTTGTTTGCTGCCTACTTAGTTTGTTCTTTTGGCATAATCTGTGAGATTTTGAATACCACCAAGATTTTCTTATCTCTTTGTCTTTGGAAAAAAACCAAGTGTTTTCTTTAGCTTTGTTTTCTAGCTACCAAAACCAAATCCCATTAACAATATGATGTCTGGAGATGTTTTTTCATTTCCTTCTTCTGTTAAAGCAGTACTGCCTCAACATGAACTTCAAACAAACCCTAACCCTAAACCTAATCCTTCTTCTTCCAAGAAAAGAAGAAATCTTCCTGGAACACCAGGTATATTATTATTATTTAGCTTCAAATTACTTCATTTGTTATACTTTTACTTGAATCAGAGGCGAATCCAAGATTTAAATTTAATGAGTTCAACTTTTAACATTTTCAGCATTAAACTTATTGTAGATTCAGTTCTAAGATTTGTTGAGATTTTAGTAAGTTTTTACATATATATCTATACTTCATATCGAAAGTTTTTGGTTCAAATGAACCCGTAGCCGATAAGACTTGAACCACACAAGTTTTTAGTTAGACCATAGATATATATATATATATATATATTTCAAAATCTTGAAAAATAGCATTAGATATCATACTCTGAATCCATATTTTCTAAAAACTCCGATCTTAAACGAGTAAAAGCTTAAATCTTAGATCTGCCTGTGCTTGCATGTACATATGGAACTGCTTTTTCAGAGTTTTTATTTTCTTGACAGATCCAGATGCTGAAGTTATTGCTCTTTCACCAAAGTCACTGATGGCTACAAACAGATTTTTATGTGAAATCTGCAACAAAGGTTTTCAAAGGGACCAAAATTTGCAACTTCATAGAAGAGGACACAATCTTCCATGGAAGCTAAAACAAAGAAATAAAGACGAAATAGTGAAGAAGAAAGTGTATATATGTCCAGAAAAGACTTGTATTCACCATGATG